TTCGTGAAGATTTTTGGGGGATATTTTTGGGGAATTTTTTGGGGAATTTCGGGACTTTCGGGGCCGACGTTTCCAGGAACATTTTTGGGCATTTTTGGCAATCTCGGGGCCGTTCCGTGTCCCCCCGCAGGAGGAGCTGTCGCGGCTGCGCCGGAAGCTGGAGAAGCAGCGCAAGGTCGAGGTCTACGCCGACGCCGACCAGATCCTGCAGGAGGAGATCAAGGAGTACCGGGTGAGCCTTCCGGAACCTTCCGGGAGCTTCCGGAACCTTCCGGGAGCTTCCAGGAGCTTCCAGGAGCTTTTGGAACCTTCCAGAACCTTCCGGGAGCTTTTGGTGCCTCCTGGGATCTTCCGGGACCTTCTGGAACCTTCCAGAACCTTCCAGGAGCTTTTGGTGCCTCCTGGGATCTTCCGGAACCTTCCAGAACCTTCCGGGACATTCTGGAACCTTCCAGGAGCTTTTGGTGCCTCCTGGGATCTTCCGGGAGCTTCCGGAACCTTCCGGGAGCTTCTGGAACCTTCCAGAACCATCCAGGAGCTTCTGGGGCCTTTTGGGGTCTCCTGGGATCTTGCAGAACCTTCAGGAACCTTGGGTGGAGCTTGGGTAGAACTTTTACAATCTTCTAGAAGCTTCCAGGACCTTCTGGGATCTCCCAGAACATCCTGGGACTTTCCAGAACATCCCAGGAGCTTCTGGAACCTTCCAGGAACTTTTGGTGCCTCCTGGGGTCTTCCAGAACGTTGAGGAACCTTGGGTGGAACTTGGGTAGAACTTTTACAATCTTCCTGGAACTTTCCAGAAGCTTCCAGGATCTTTTGGGATCTCCCAGAACCTTCCAGGAGCTTCTGGGGCCTTTTGTTTTCTAGGAACTCCCAGAAGCTTCCAGGACTTCCTGGAACTTCCCAGAAGCTTCCAGGATCTTTTGGGATGTCCCAGAACATCTTGGAACCTTCCAGGAGCTTCTGGAATCTTCCAGGAATTTTGGTGCCTTTTGGGGCTTCCTGGGATCTTGCAGAACCTTGAGGAACCTTGGGTGGAGTTTCCAGGACCTTGGGTGGAGCTTTTGCAACTTTTTCAGAACTTCTAGAACCTTCCAAGGTCTCCTGGAACCTTCCAGAACCTTCCAGGAGCTTCTGGAACCTTCCAGGAGCTTCTGGGGCCTCCTGGGATCTTGAGGAACCTTGGGTGGAGCTTCTGGGACTTTCTTGGGGTGTTTTCTAGAACTTTCCAGAATACTGGTTGACCATTAATGACCTTAGTTGATCTTGGTCATTAATGACTTTTAATGTCTCGATGGACCTACAATGACCTTGGTTGACCATTAATGATCTTGGTTGATCTTTAATGATTTTTGTTGACCGTGGTTGGCCCGTAATGACTTTCAATAACGTTGGTTGATAATTAATGGCCTTTAATGACTTTGGTTGACCTCAAATGACCTTGGTTGACCATTAGTGACCTTTAATGACTTTGGTTGACCTTGAATGACTTTGGTTGATCTCAAATGACCTTGGTTGACCTTGAATGACTTTGGTTGACTATTGATGACTTTCAGTGATCTCAGTTGACCTTGAACGGTCTTGGTTGACTGTTAATGATCTTCAACGACCTTGGTTGACTTTGATTGACCATTAATGACCTCTAATAATCTTGGTTGATCTCAAGTGATTTTGGCTGACCGTTGATGACCTTGAATGACTTTGGTTGACCTTGAATGACCTTCAATGATCTTGGTTCATCATTAATGATTTTTGTTGACCTTGGTTGACCATTAATGACCTTTGTTGACTTTGGTTGACCATTGATGATCTTCAATGGCTTTGGTTGACCATTAATGATGTTTAACAACCATGGTTGACAATTAACAACCTTCAATAAGCTCAGTTGACCTCGAATGATCTTGGTTGACCATTAACGACTTTCAATGATCTCCGCCGGCCTTGGTTGACCATTAATGACCTTGAATAACTTTGGTTGATCATTAATGACCTTCATTGACCTTGGTTGACTATTAATGATCTTGAAAGACCTTGGTTGACCATCAATGACCTTGAATGACCTTTGTTGATCATTAATGATCTTCAACGAGCTTGGTTGACCATTAGTAACTTTTAATAAACTCAGTTGACCTCGAACAATCTTGGTTGACCATTAACGACCTTCAGTGATGTCCGGTGGCCTTGGTTGACCATTAATGACCTTGAATGACCTTGATTGATCATTAATGATCTTCATTGACCTTGATTGACTGTTAATGACCTTGAATGAGTTTGGTCGATCATTAATGATCTTCAATGACCGTGGTTGACCTTTGTTGACCATTAATGACCTTCAACGATCTTGGTTGACCATTAACGATCTTCAATGATCTCCGTTGGCTTTGATTGACCATTAACGACTTTCAATGACTTCAGTTGACTCTTAACCATCTCCAATGACCGTTAACGACCTCGACTGACCTTTGGTCACCGGTGGTCACCCTCGCTGACCCTCTGTCCTCTCCGGCCAGGCCCGGCTGACCTGTCCGTGCTGCAACGCGCGCAAGAAGGACGCGGTGCTGACCAAGTGCTTCCACGTCTTCTGCTTCGAGTGCGTCAAGAGCCGCTATGACACGCGCCAGAGGAAGTGCCCCAAGTGCAACGCGGCCTTCGGCGCGCACGACTTCCACCGCGTCTACATCAGCTGAGCGCTGGAGGTCACCCCGTGGTGACCGCTGGTCATCTGTGGTCATCTGCAGTCATCTGTGGTCATCCTTGGTGACCACGGCCACCAATGACCACCCGTGGTCATCCAATGTCCATCCTTGGTGACCAACGACTTTCACCGTGTCTACGTCAGCTGAGCGCCGGAGGTCACCCTGTGGTGACCGGTGGTCATCTGCGGTCATTTCTGGTCATCTGCGGTCATCCTTGGTGACCACGGCCACCGATGACCGCCCCTGGTCATCCAATGTCCATCCTTTGGTGACCCATGACTTCCGCCACGTCTAGGTCAGCTGAGCACTGGAGGTCACCCCATGATGACCAGTGGTTACCTGTGGTCATCTGTGGTCATCTGTGGTCATCCTTGGTGATCACGGTGAACTGTGACCACCCATGGTCACCCAGTGTCCATCCCATGGTGACCAATGCCCAGCTGTGGTCACTCTGTGTCCCTCAGTGACCAATGCCCAGCTGTGGTCACTCTGTGTCCATCTTTAGTGACCAATGCCCAGCTGTGGTCACTCAGTGTCCACTCTCAGTGACCAATGCCCAGCTGTGGTCACTCTGTGTCCACTCTCAGTGACCAATGCCCAGCTGTGGTCACTCTGCGTCCATCTTTAGTGACCAATGCCCAGCTGTGGTCACTCTGTGTCCATGCCATGGTGACCAATGTCCAGCTGTGGTCACTCTGTGTCCATCTTTAGTGACCAATGCCCAGCTGTGGTCACTCTGTGTCCATCTCTAGTGACCAATGCCCAGCTGTGGTCACTCTGTGTCCATCTTTAGTGACCAATGCCCAGCTGTGGTCACTCTGTGTCCATCCTCAGTGACCAATGCCCAGCTGTGGTCACTCTGTGTCCACCCCATGATGACCACTGACCACTGATGTCCACCCGTGATGACCAATGACCACCGATGACCACTGATGACCACTGATGACCACCCCACCCTGACCCTGTGGTCACTCCTGGCCATCTCTTGCTGACCAATGGCCGCTCTCCGGCCGCTCCCTGCTGACCACTGACCACCTGTGGTCACTCTGTGTCCATCATTGGTGACCACTGACCACCTGTGGTCACTCTGTGTCCACCCCATGGTCACCAATGGTCACGGCCACCCCAGGCCACCCCTGACCACCCCTGTCCACCCCAAAGTGACCACTGACCACCCCAAAGTGACCACTGACCACCCCAGAGTGACCACTGACCACCCCTGACCACCTCAAGTGACCTCTGGTCACTCTGAAGTGACCAATGGTCATTCCTGGTCACCCCAAACTGCCCCCTGGTCACTCTGGTCACCCTAAAGTGACCACTGGTCACTCTGGTCACTCATGGCCATCCCAAAATGACCACGGGTCACTCTGGTCACCCTAAAGTGACCCCTGGTCACTCTGGTCACTCTTGGTCACCCTAAACTGACCCCTGGTCACTCATGGCCACCCCAAAATGACCCCTGGTCACTCTGGTCACTCTAAAGTGACCATTGCTCACTCTGGTCACTCTGGTCATTCTAAAGTGACCACAGGTCACTCTGGTCACTCTGAAGTGACCACTGGTCACTCTGGCCACCCCAAACTGCCCCCTGGTCATCCTGGCCACCCCAAAGTGACCACTGGTCACTCTGGTCACTCTAAAGTGACCATTGCTCACTCTGGTCACTCTGGCCGCCCCAAACTGCCCCCTGGTCACTCCTGGTCACCCCAAACTGCCCCCTGGTCACTCTGGTCACTTGTGGTCACTCCTGGTCACTCGTGGTCACCCCCGTGTCCACCCCGGCCCCTCCCCAGCGGTCGCCGCCCCCTGACCTTTGACCTCGCTGTGGCCCCGCCCCCTTTTCCCCTTTCCCAGCCAATAAAATCGCTCGGAGTCGTTCCCACGGTGCCGGTG